ATACCGACTTTATTTCTAGCTACTATAAAAAATGGAGTCTTGGTATAAAGATGGAATTCTTTTTTTTCCCACAAAAACTAAATTTGATATACACGTGTTTTTGGTATTAAACACGAGTGTCAACCCTCATTAGGATAATAATAATAAGGTTACTTCATAAATAATTAAATTCCAGTATTGACACAATTCATTACAAAAATATAAAAAGAGTAATATTTTTGACAATAATAATATATAAATACAATCTAGCAAAAACAAATTTGTCATTGGCGACACATCAAATCAAGCCAAAAATTTTTTTGGCTCGATTTGATGTGTCGCCAATGACACCCTCGATGTTGCTTGCATCATAACCAATTTTGTCACCAACAATAGTATATGAAGAAATAACATTTTTGACAAAAATGTCTGTCAATCATAGAGCATGTTTTATTAAACCAAAAAACATCAACAATTAAATTCAAATAAACTTTGTTTTTAAATTTGATTGATTTTTGTTGTTATTTAACGGTCACAATTTTTGTAATTATATTATATTATATGCTGAAAATGCCGGAGCCTATATATATATATATATATATATATATATATATATATATATATATATATATATATATATATATATATATATATATATATATATATATATATATATATATATATATATATATATATATATATATATATATATATATATATATATATATATATATATATATATATATATATATATATATATATATATATATATATATATATATATATATATATATATATATATATATATATATATATATATATATATACATATATATACATATATATATATATATATATATATATGTATATATATATATATATATATGTATATATATATATATATATATGTATATATATATATATATATATATATATATATATATATATATATATATATATATATATATATATATATACATATATATACATATATATATATATATATATGTATATATATATATATATATATGTATATATATATATATATATATATATATATATATATATATATATATATATATATATATATATTTATATTTATTTATTTATTTATCTTACGTACTAATGAAGCCTTAAGGGAATGGCGGACAATGTAAGCAACTCTTCCTTATTATTATATATATTGTTATATATATATATATATATATATATATATATATATATATATATATATATATATATATACATATATATATATATATATATATATATATATATATATATATATATATATATATATATATATATATATATATATATATATATATATATATATATATATATATATATACATATATTTATCTTACGTACTAATGAAGCTTAAGTAATGTAAATCTCGGCTGAATCATTAATTATATAATAGACAAAGTGAACTATAAAATACTTACTAGGTATGCCATCCTCCTCATATAAATATATAAAAAAAATTATTCCACTTAGCTTAAGTTTTGAAATAGATACTCTTTATCATTAATTTAAATTTTTTAGAAACTAATAATAACATAACCATTGAGTTTGGTGATGTTATTATTAACGTGAAACATCTAGGGATTATTATTGATTACCATCTTAATTTTACAGAACATATCAAACATATCTCAAATAAAATTGCAAAGAAAACTCGATATCTTGGTAGAATAAGCAAATATTTAACTGGACCAAAAAGATAATCTTTCAAACTATAATTGCTTCCCACTATGAGTACTGTGCTTCTATTTTTCTTGATGTCAACATTATTAAGTTAAATATCCTAGAAAAATTTCAAAACAGTGCAATGAGAATTGTATTAAAATGTGACTGGTCAACTCATAAAACAGAAATGTTGAAACTGCTTGGGTGGATCAGTGTAAAAAAAAAGAATAATTTTTAAATCACTTTGTTTCATATTCACAATGTTACATCAACTGAAAATGTTTTATATTCACAATGTTACATCAACTGAAAATTATATATACCGTTCTATTCAAAAAATAGTGAGTTACATCAACACTGCACTAGACAAGCTAGTTATTTCCATAAAAGCAGACAATATAAGAGAGCAGGGCAGAAGTCATTATTCGTGTTTGGTTTAAAATTATACCAGGGAATAGCTTATGGATTTGTTCAGCTGGACTACGAAAAAAACTGCTTCAAACACTAAAGAAGAATCAAATTATATAGTTAACATTTATTTTGTAATAGGGAACATTTATTTTGTCTGGTTTTGTCTGGTTTAGTTTGGTTGAAAACAGTACAAAAAATATTTCATCAACTTGTTGCTCTCACGTTTGGGGCAGGAGGAGGGGGCTAAGATTTTAGGGTTTTTTGTTTCCATTCCCCTATTACAGTAATTTTTTTTTTAAAGAATCTTTTCGTCATACATATAAAGGTAAAAAAATTTGGAATATTCTTGTTGTTTATAAGTTGGTTATTTCAAACATTTAAAAACCTTCCTACGCCACTGGGTTGTTATACCTATGAAAGACACACCAATTAAATAAAACCAAGGACAAATAAAATAACGAATAATAAACATGTGACACGTATTTCATATTTAATTTTTAACTTTCTATTAACCATAAATAGTCACAAGCATGTATGATTTTTGTTTTATTGAATAAATATCATACATGTGCAGAACACCATAAACACATAGCGTAACAATTTACACTTAATATACTTATTTTAGCAGAATTATTTTTGGAATACTTTTTAATTAAATATTTCCTGCTGGGCATATTTTACATTTATGACATCTTGGTAGATTGCATAAACATGTAGAGTAGCACACCAAGGACAACACTAAGGGCAAAAAGTAGGCACAACATTTGCCAACATATTTATGTTTACATCTTTTTGTTAAAGTTTATTTCCATAATACTGATTTCAATAGTTTGACTTCCTTGTCGAATAATTAAAAAAATAATTACCTAAATTTTCTGTGCATATGGGAGCAAGAACATACGACAACATAGAAAGAACACGTAATATTGGTTTTACACCAAGATTATAAACAAACACAAACTTTCTTTAATATTTCAAAATTTCATTTTTTTTTCCTTAACTGAATTCTTTAGAAATACATAACTATAAAGGCATTGAATTTTTAAAAAACAGCAATGAAACATGTTTCACACATCCCTACTCAAAAAAAAAAGTGCTGTTGTAAACATTCAGCTTTTTACACCCATATTGTCAATATTTCAATTAGTTTGATGTGAAGAATATAATGAATTGTATTAAAAAGAAGAAAATGAATTGTATTAAAAAAATTACAAAAGGTCTTAACATTCTGCTTAAATAGCAAGTTCCTTCTTTCATAACTTCGACTCATAGAAGTAATATAAGGGTCTAATAAGCAGAACAATCTTCGCATTACATATTTATTTGTAATTTTTCTAAAAAAAAAAAATTTTTTAATTTTCTCAAAAGTTTTTAACATCTTTGTTTCTACTTTTCTAGACATCTTCAGATGAGGAGCTAACTGGAACTGGCTTGTTTTTTACAATATACTAGTGTATTACACTTGTTTCTTACACTGATGAAAATGGACAATCATCTAGTGCACTCCAGCAGGCATTTAAAATGTGCTACGTATGTCTTAAATGTATCTTTGTAATATATTTCTAGATATATCTGGATCAAATGGGTGCTAGATACATCTGGATCAATTGGATGCTTTATCTGGATCAATTGGATGCTTACAGGAAAACACACAAAGGATAATGAAAATCGTTTAAGTATTTCAGCAAATGTTTCATAGCTTCTAAACGCCCTTTTTGCTGTGTTTCCATCATTGGATGTACCAGAGACACAACCTTTTGTTCATCAACAACGAGTCCGATGGTCTTTTTTCTTGGATTTCTTTTTTTTGCTTCCAACTATTTTTTTCTTTTCAGGAGTGTTTCTATAAAAAAATACGCAATTATTGTATCCTGGTCTTCTTTTCTGTCCAATATGGAGAGTGTGGATTTCAAGGTCCAAAGATATCTGATTAGATTGTCTATTATAAGCATTTATTTTTTTAAGATTTAATCCGCATATATTGCAAACTTAATAAGAATTACTTGAAGGAAAAGTTAGTTGAAACTTTCCTATCAGTCATAGTACATTTTAACTTGTACTTGACTTGAAATAAGTCTATGGCTGTTGTTCTGAGCTCAGTTGACATAAAAAAATCAGATTCTGCTTTAGTTATTTGCTGATTTTCCTTAACGTATCGCATTCGAACAGGACGACAATATTGGGTTTAGGATGTTTTGTCCAAAGAATAACATTAGTTTGCTTTTTTAAGTTGGACAGGTACTGTACGTGAAATAAATAAATATTCTTGAACTAGAACTGGCAATATTCAATTATATATATATATATTTTTAAATTACAGACCTTAAAAATTAAAATCTGGTTTTCACATAACATATAATTTAATTTTTCAACTGTTTTTACTATAAAACAAACTACGTTTTTGTTTTTATGGCATGGTACTGGACCACTGTGGGGGGCTAACTAATTCTATAAAATTTTTTACTTTGTTTACCCAAAATAAGTCGAGTGGTCTTTAATGATAAACATTTATTATGATTAGGATTATACGACTGGCCGGTAAAAACTTCATCTTCTATTTATACAATTTGCATAAATTTTGTTATTTAAAAATGTTTATTCATTTTTTTAGTTGTCATTATAATGCAGACAAAAACACCCTAACATTGCATACTAGATTTATTCTAGTAAAACTAATAATTAGACAAATTAAATAAAACATCACATTAATAACTTCAAAATGGTAAATAATCTATACCTATGTCTAAATAAAACTATTTGGTGATAACAAATCGATAAGAAATAAGCCTAACCATTACTTAAAAAGCTTAAAGCAAAATTGTCAACCTCTTCAACTTTAGGTGTTTTGCTGCAAATACACACACCGATTGACAGGTTTCGGGGGAAACTTGTAAATATTTATAAAAATGATAAAATAGTTTTGCATAGCAAATTATTATTTAATAAAAATCACACTGCAATACTTTTCTATCTGAGGAAGTTATTAAAATACTAATCAGCCACAATAAATAACTTTTTTTCTATCAATTTTACCCCAATTCATATTGTCTCTAATTTACTTTAACTGTTTTAAACGTCTTCAACTTGTTTTTCAGAGATGATTAAACTGTTACATCTAACATCTTCAACTTGTGGTTTTAGCAAGTTACTTAACAAAATTCCAAAAAATAGAATTAAACCAATGTTTTTATTTGAAGTAAACTTTCCTGAACAATCTGCAGGATTTGCCAAGTTCACAGTTTGTATCTAAAAAAAAATTAATCATGATTTGCTTTGCATTGTTTGCGAAAAGCTATTCAATATAGTTATAATAATGAAGATAGTGAAAAGCAAAGCAATAAAAAAAGCAACGCAATAGAATTAAACTACATAAATAAATTCAAACAAAATATTACAACCAACCTGCCATGATAAATGCAAACCAACTAGTAATAACGATAAATAATACGGCCACGATTGCTCGCTACTATACCCTGAGACAAAAAGCCCTGTGATCATGCAGGCAGAAAATAGAGAAAGCATTTTTTTTGTATTATCGCCAAAAAGAAGTGCTGTAGACTTTACTCCAATCAATGCATCATCAACTTTATCCTTAAATATATATATATATATATATATATATATATATATATATATATAATATATATATATATATATATATATATATATATATATATATATATATATATATATATATATACACACATATATATATATATATATAAAATAAATGATAAATAAAACAAAAATGACTACCTGATGAGCGTATATAGTATCATATAAAAGCGTCCATGATATACCAGCCATATAGAGTGGAAGACACACTATCCAGTTACATTCACCTTGAACAGCAGACCAACCGAGTAGGGCTCCCCAATTAAGTGTGGCACCTAAAAAGTCAATAAATACATTTTAAACAAAAATAAACTAAAAAGTTCTCAAATTTTTTTATCTTCAAATTTTTTTATCTTCACCATTTCAAGACTTAATCAATTTTTGTTGATAAGTAAAACTCTAAAAAATAAACCAGAAAAAAACTTCTATTCATTCTGTACCCATTTTTACCCATTAAACTAATAAATACAATCAACTATAAATAAAGTTTTAAATTAAAAAAAAAAATTGGTTTTACAAAATAAACAAAGAGCTTTAGATTTGATTTTTACAATGTCTTTCTTCAAAGTACTTTTAGCAGTCAAACTAAAACTTTGAAGAACGACTATTTAGGAAGTTGTTCAGAAAATATGGTATATGACTTTAAATTTTTTTTTTAAACTACAAGCGATAGCCTGTAGAAAAAAAATGCTGATTTACAAGTTACAGGTAATGTTGTGCTAAAAAGGTACACATGAAGATTATGTAAAAACCATGCGGTTAATATGTTAATTCACATTATATGCACTTTAGTATTAAAAATAAAATCATAAAACATGTAAATTGTAAAAACTGAAATCCACTGAAGTTACTTTAAATTTCAATCAGATTTTCAAAATTAAATTAAATTGATATTACATTTAATGTAATATCCATTTAATTATATAGCACATATTTATTTGCCGGCTGCAAAATAAAGAAAATGAAAAATAATGTAATAACGTCAAATATAATTTAATATAAATTTTATTATATATAGAACAAACTTAGGGGTGTTTCAGAACAATTTTTCAAAAAAAAAAGTAACTTTCACCCCTCCCTTATGTAACTTTATTTTTGATTTTAAATTGCCAAGTCTCAGCCAAGAAAATTAAATGACAAATAGCATACAGAAAAAATAATATTTGGCAAGAAGTATAAGAACTGGACTTTTAGACAGCAGAATAAAGTGGTATTCATCAATAAAACTATGATTATGCCATTTGGTACCTGGCACCTTTCAGAAAATGATAAAAAATGAAATGTTTGTTAACAAATGTATGCGACATTAATAAAGATTTTCCAAGTCTCTAGAACCTGTATTTCTGAGATAAAATACAAAATTCAGAAATCTAAGATTAATGGATCTTGGCATTAGTTCTTTGTTACATTGATAAAAAGAGGTTTGCTCTCAAGAAAGTTCTTCTGGTGATAAAATAAATTGATAAAATAATTGATAAAATAAATGATAAAATAAATGATTGATAAAATAATTGATAAAATAAATGATTGATAAAATAAACGATAAAACAAATGATTTATAAAATAAATGATTGATAAAATAAATGATAAAATAAATTGATTGATTGAATTTAGAAATAGCAGCTATACAAATAGGAGAAAACCATTAAGTAGAGCAGGGCTTGAGACTTTGAGGGATTAAGAGACTTGACTTGAAACCAATTAGAAGGGAATAAAAGCTTTCATGTCTGTCTGAATACAGGAGGTTACATAGGAAGCACAACTTTCACCAGAGGACAAAAGATATTTAATATGTTAAGAAATACGATAATAGAGAGGTACATCAATAAATTTACAACAAAATGAAACTTAATTTAAGCATTGCAACATATTATTAAATTTGAAACTTTTTTTATTGTTTGAAATTTAATCACCAACAACAATGTGTGTTTCAATACTTCTATTATACAATTAAGGATCCTAAGAAACATTTCACTGAAACTTTTTTTATATGTAGACTATTATAAAAGTGTTGTTATATTCAAGTTTAAATTCGCAATTCAAATTTATAAAAATAATTGTACAAAAAACTTATTATTTATTCTTAAAACACTATAAAATTTCACACTCTCGACAAATCAAAAATGCCAAGTTTCACTATGCTAGTTTTGGTCTTGACATTGAACTATATTTTGATGTCTTATCTTGATAAAAAAAGTTTTTCTTGGTGTTGAAGTTTTGTTGTTTGTCTTTTTCTTGACCAATTTTAAAAATGTATAAAAATATAAACATAGAATTAAAAGAAACATACAATATCAACTTGTATATAGTAAATAAAATAAAAAAAGCATGCCAATGTCAAGATGTAGAGTTGTTACAAAAAAAAAAATCCTCAATATTATATTGAGTTTGATTTATTTAATATATAACTATTTTTATAATGTAGGATAAAAGCTGTGACCAAAAAAAACATACCTAAAACAAGCTGTGGCCAATAAGTAACTCTTTTAAATAAAGGATACGTTACAACTAAACTCATTGAAAAAGCTCCAAGAAATATGCTAAAAATAAAAATAAGAGAATTGAAAAAGGTATTGTATAAAAGTAATTATTTTCATATCCTAGATTTAATGTTTAAAGCGTTTTTTATTTAGTTTACTATTATTACTATTATTGTTTTTTTATGCCTAGTGTTGATGAAATGAGAAAGCAACTTCAACAACCAAATTCTGAGATAATGATGATGAGCATAAGGTGACCCTTCTATATTTTTTGTCAACTTACCTTATCCTTGCTTAGTTACCAGACAACATAATTTTATTAAAATAAAACTAAGAGGATAAAGAAAAAAAATAAATAAATAAAAATATATATATATATATATATATATTTACCTATACCAATTAAGTGTCAAAAGAACACATAAGCTGCATGATAACATTCCAGAAAGAAAAATAAGTGCTTCAGTCTGAGATAATGCTCCAGTTGCTAATGGACGAGATGCAGTTCGAGTAACCTTGTACAATAAACATAAAATACATATTTTATGAACAATGTGCTGGTATAAGCTAAAAAAAATCTAACTTCATTAGAAGATAGAAGTAATAGAAAATCACCTTAATGCTTTATTTATATTATCTTTATCATTTCTAAACTTAAAAAAAACCTTTTTATCAAATTCTTTGTCCCACATATCATTGATAATACAACCAGAACTTCTCATTAGAAATGAGCCAATGCCAAACAACAGAAGCAACTTTGCATCTGGAAACATACCAACAGGTGCAGCCATTGCAATGCTCCATGAACCAGGAAAAAAAAGCAGCCATGTACCTATTGTTCGTTGAAACCGAATCAAATCTAGATAAGGCTTGATTAATTTAGGACTACATTCATAAATAGCATTTGTCAAAAGAGATCGACTTTCAAATGGTTGTGATACTTTAATTTTTTGAAACAATGTGTTGTTTCTAAAAGGTATGCATTTTTGTGAATGATAGAAGAAATTTCTTTTTTCACTTGCTAGTCCTGAATAACTATTAATTGTTTTATTTTCTTGTATTAAACAAAGACTGGCTGTCCCAAAAAAATTCCTTTTACTTAAAATGCTTTGTGATCTTTTTATACTGAGCATTATTTAATCAATTCAGTAGAAATCAGTATATGCATTTCGAATAAACACAAAAATTGAGAAACATTTAAATTTAAGTTATTTAATTTTAGTTGACATTTAAATTTTTCTAAAAAAAATCATACATATTTTTATAAATGTGTTTATGCCAAATAATAATTTTAACAACCTTACTGGTAAAAATGTCCACTCCTTTTTGTAGTTTTTTCTTATGGAAATACTCTTAGGTGCTTAATACGTGGGAGGGGAGGTTTAATAACTTTCTGATACTTTTCAGCCAACCAATGCTTATTAAGACCCCACCTCTCAAAACTTAAAAAAAAAAAAAAAAAAAAAAAAAAAAAAAAATCAGAAATAATATATATTAGTCACTGATAAGAATAAAAACTTTTATTGTAATTAGGCTTTAAAAATTGACCTTTAAAAAATCTCATAAAGTTTGCTTTTTTAAGATTTAGGTTTTTGTTTATTTCTCACCATAGTATAAAACTTATGCATATTAGACTCATTTATTAGATCTGTACTAAACCCCCCCCCCCCACCTCTCTTTATAACTGAAACTCAAACAGAAAATAACATTGTATTGTACTTCTCCATATTTCCATCAACTTTTCAAACAAAAAAAGCTAATTAAAATAATTTTTTTTACAAAACCTAAAGAATTCAATTCAATAATAACTTTGTCTATCATACATTAAACACTATTTGATTTTTCTTTTATACATAACTATGTGTAAGAATGTAGCATGAGTAAATACCTATCAAATTAAGTTAAGTTCCTTTCAACAAAGCTACAAACTTCTAGATTTATATTCTATAAACATTAACCTGTGCAAATTACTTAAACAGTTTATACTCTATAAAAATACATTACCCTATGCAAATTACTTGAACTCTATAAAGATGTACTCTATAAAGATATATGAACTTGCTTTAATGTTTATAAAAAAGCAAAGCAAAAAAAAATTTGAATATTCAAAAAAAGCAAAGTAATTAAATTTAAAGTAATATACTTTTTGTTTGATTTTTTTTTTCTTTTTTTTTTTGTAATATTATTTTATCTTAAATTTTGCTAAAATTCATTTTATTTTGTTTTTATTGTTAGTAATATTATACGCAGAAATTAATCTATTACAATGCTAAATTATTAGCATTAATAATAACTAAAGAATATAGGTTTTTAACACTATTTCTCATAAAAATTTATTTTTAAACATGTGGCAGGTCCAGTGAGTGCTTTTCAATAAACTTAAAGCTGCTCATTAATGTGCACAATTTTTTAGATCTCTGCTTAGATGTGATATTTGGCATTACCAGGACAGATCCAAATCCAGAACCAAAAAGACTCCATATCTACTTATCTCATACTCATAATTTGATAAAAAGTTTACTAGTGTTAATTTGGTTTAATTGATTTATTATTGTTTCCAAATGTTTACAGTAAAAAAATAATTTTGCTAAAATGAAACATGGCCTTAAACAAAAATCCATCATATCCATCATCTCTGCAAATTAAAAAAGCAATTGTATTTTATATTACAGATAGATATGTCGAAAATACACCATTTTAAGGCTTCCACTCTGTTAACTAATATGTAGGAAAGAACTTCCTCCTCGTGCATTTATTTGTTCTTCAAGATATTATAGGGCGATTTTCGACAACACATACTTGTTTGAATAAAATATAATCGAGAGTTAGTGATTTGATGTTCTAACTCCAATAACAAACTTCAAATTGGTTAACCTTGTTCGCTCAACCTTGTTCGCTAAAAAATTGAAATAGAAACCTCTTAATCAATTTCAAATATTTTTGCTAAACCTAGTTTTATATTTATATTAGATTAAACCTAGTTTTAAGATTACATTAGATTAAACCTAGTCTTACATTAGACTTGATAGTCTAATGTGAGGCTAGTTTACATTAGACTTGATACAGCAGACAATAATCTCTGTTAATCTAAATCTCAGCTATTGGACAATACTCTAATTTATTGCATACATTCCCATAGACAGTTCCAAGTTTTTCAAAAACTAAAGAATTATAATAAAGAGATAACCCCAGGGGGCATCCATAAAATATGTACACAGTAAATCACTAATTTAGAACCCCTCCTCCTCCTTGTATGAACCTGTATGTTTTTAACCACCCTTTCCCTCAGCAAACATTCACATTTTTTATAACACAACTAATCCTACCTCTTCCCTAGGGGATAAGTTTTTTAAAACTTAAGAAAAACAAACTTTTAGTTGACTAAACACATCTCTGCCACATAACATAATGTTGATATTTTCAATTTGTGAAATGCTTTTGTTTAAAAAAAAAGTTTTAAGAGAGATAAAGAATGAGAAATAATTAAACTGTTTACGTACAAGTTGTCTTTAACAACCCCTTCCCTCCCTTTCTAATAGTAAGAGCTACTTAGTAGCTGTTACTATTTAAAAAATATATATATATTTATATAAAATAAACAAAAACTTTCATTTTTGTTTATTTTATATAAATATATATATCAAAATAATAAAGATTTTAAACCTTCCATCGACAATTTCTTTTCGGTAAAGTTCATATCTGCCATTCAATGCCTCCTTGCGACCTATAAATTCTTCATGCAACTGTGATGCAGCTGACTTCTTATGCTCCATCCAAATTGATAAAATTGATGATTGCTCCTGAATAACAGCTGATAAAAAAAATCAAAATATAGTTACAAAAAAAAAAAAAAGCTGTTAAAAAAAAAAGCAAAATTTCTAAAATTAAAAAAGACTAATTTTGATATTACTTGAATTGTTTGTAAATCGATCGGTTGTCACCCAATCAGTTTTTTTCACCTTGCTCGGTGGTTCTTCTAGAGTAGAAAATTCAGGCAACACTTTTCCATGAGGAGTGGTATCTACAGGTTTTGAACTGCTTTCACTTGTTCTTCTCCTTTTTCTTGGATCACTAGGAGCACCAACACTTTTACGAGATCCTTCGTTCAACTCACCTTTTAGCCGTTTTAAGTCACTATTTTCTCGTACATTTATATTTTGATACCGATCTGATTCGTTCCACGACTTTGCTTCTGAATTAATTTTATCTATGGAAAATAAAAAATCTATCAAGCAGTTTAAAAAAATATAATGTAGAAAATTATGGAAAAATTTCAAAAAGGAGAGGAATTTGAACTTCAAACAAGCTGGTTGCATATAAACACTTATAAACCTCTGTTAGCCAGATGCATATAAACCTCTGTTAGCCAGATGCATATCTAGGTAAAGAGGTATTCCATGAGAAAGTGGGACAGGTATATAACCCACCATCTCAGATTTTCTTCATACTTTGTAAAAATGGTCATCTATATAATATAGACTACCTATCAAAATTTTAGCACTGATATCAAAGGGGTTTTGGAGTTATTGTTACTTTAAAATCAGCTATTTTTTGCAGTTTTTTCTGTTTGGCAGCCATTTTGATTTTACTATAGTTTTTGTTTTACATGTTACTGTTTAACTAAACATGTAATTAAGCTAAAAATAAGCCCCAGTATAGTTTTTAGGGTGAGGAATTAGAATATAATATTTGGACCACAATGGTGAAGATGATTTTCTGGAACAAACATTTTTTGATGAAGATATGGAAATGGCACAAGAAAAAGAACTTATAAACACCAGTTTTGATAAACTAGATGTATCGCCAGTAAAATTTCATGGGGTTCCACAACATGCTAAAATTTCTTTAGGAAAAAGAAAATTAATGCAAGCTACTGATGTTATGTCAAAAAAGCTATCAGTTATCCTCAATGTTAACGCAACAGACCTGAAAAATGATGTCAATGGGGAGCCCAATGTTGAAAATCAGAAGAAAGCTGAAGATCTAGATAAATTGATACTTTCAATGCAAGAAAAGCTGAAAAGAGCAAATAGAAGAGAAAAGATTCAGATTTTAACATTGGTTCCAGATTCATGGTCTTTAAGGAAAGCAGCTGAAGTATTTAATATATCAAAATCAACCATAACTAAAGAATAACGTTAGAATTGAATCAGATATCATTAATAATGTGGAAAGCTTTAATTGTAATGATCAGTTTAGTAGGCAGTTACCAGGTATAAAAGATTTTGTAAGTGTATCCAAAAATAAACATGTATCAAAGCGATTACTTCTTTGCAATTTAAAGGAATTATTTATTGAATTCAAACTAGAACACCCTTAATCCAAAATAGGATTTTCTAAATTTGCTCAGTTAAAGCCAAAATGGTGTATTTATGCTGGTCAAAAAGGAACCCATGCTGTTTGTATATGCGCAAAACACCAAAACCTAAAGCTTATGCTTAGCGCAGTTAAACTGGAGAAGAATTACCATGAACTTATTGAGAAGATTGTTTGTAGCAGAGAGTCAAGGGAATGCATGGTCCATAGATGTAATCAATGCCCTGGAATTCAAAATATTATAAATTATATGACTGCAAATCTATTGCAAAATGAAGGATCATTTGAAGAGAATGACAAAGTGGATGAAAATGAAACAATTGAATACAAACAATGGAGTGCAACAGATAGAGCAGAGATTCTAAGTAACACATCTACAATAAGTGAATTCATTGAAAGTCTTAGTGGAAAACTTGATAGCATAACATCTCACTCTTATATTGCTAAAGCACAAAGTAAATATTTTAATACGTTAAAGTCATTCTATACCCATAAATGAAATTATTATTTTAGTTGACTTTGCAGAAAACTTTAAATTTATCATACAAGACGAAATCCAGAGTTACCACTGGAACCAACAGCAATGCACACTACATCCTGTAGTTATTTATAACAGAAATGATGAGGGTTTTACTAAAAGTCAACCAACGTCTTTATGTTTTATATCTGATGACTCAACACACGATGTTGGATTTATTTATTGTATTGTAAAAAGAACTGTCCAATTTGTACAAGAAATGTTTCCCAATACCATAAAAATCCACTATTTCTCTGATGGTTGTGCTGGTCAGTACAAAAATTGCAAATTTATGTCATCATGTTGAAGATTTTGGGATGCAATGTGAATGGAATTTCTTTGCAACATCACATGGAAAGTCACCATATGATGGCATTGGTGGAACAGTTAAAAGACTTGTTTCAAATGCTAGTCTTCAACGTCCGATAGACTTACAAATTCAGAGCGCTGAAGAAATGTTTAATTTTTCAAAAGATAACATATTTGGCATCTACTTCTTTTTTTTAAAAGACGAAGATATTTTATCAGTCCGTAAATCTCTGACTCTCAGATTGAAAAATGCAAAGACTTTACCTGGTACAAGAAGTTTCCACCAATTTATTCCACAGGATGCAACAAGCATAAATTTCAAAAGAGTCTCTGAGCAGGAGGACTTTAATCTAACATTCAACCTTACTGGCTCAATTCCATATCTTCAAGAAATCATTGTAGGAAAATATTATATCTGCAAATATGATATGTTTAACTGGGTTGGTTTAGTATTTGAAGTTGATGAAAGAAATGAAGATGCCCTTGTAAAACTCATGTATCCTCATTTTTTTTTTTTTAATTATCTTTGCTTCCAACAAGGTTGCAAGCAACCACTAATTGGTGTTGGAAGTTACTGGAAGAGAAAAGATGAAGATTGTAGAGCAAAATAACGATTGACAGACGACTTAAAAGATTGCAAATTATATGAATCAGGAAAGCAAGATGAAGGAAGCGAATTCCAAAGAACTGATGTTCGAGGAAAAAAACTAGACGAATAAGAGTTTTTGGAGCACTTAGGAACAGTAACAGAAAAAGAATTAATTGAATGACGAGTAACACGAGAATGAATTTTAGTAGATGGCACAAGAGACGCTAGCTCTTTAGAGCAGTGCCCATTATAGTATTTGTAGAAAAGAGAAAGAGAAGCAACATTACAACGATGTGACAGAGGTTGAAGGTTGGCTGCAAGAGCAGGTCCAACTATGTTTACAATGCGTTTTTGCACCTTGTCTAAAAGAGAAAGGGCATCATTAGAAGATCCGCCCCAGATATGACAACAGTATTCCATACAAGACCGGATTTGAGATTTATAAAAATAGAGAATAGAATCCAGAGTAAGAAAATGACGAGCTCGATAAAGAGAAGCAACTTTAGCAGATGCTAATTTTGCAACGGATTTGATATAAAGTTTCCAAGAAAGATCAGAAGTAAGAGTTAATCCTAGAAGATGAAGGGTAGGAGACTCATCGAGTACATTACCGTTCATAAATATAGGAAGGTCTAAATTATTGTGATAACGATTGGCCGAAAAAAATTGAGTTTTATCTGAATTAAAGTTCACCAGCCACTGCGAGCCCCATGCTGTAGCAGAAGTCAGATCCTTTTCGAGCTCAGATGCCCCCTGCAAGCAATCAGAGGGAGTTGGCTTCTTATCGTGACAAGAATAAATGGTAGTATCATCAGCGAACAATGCCACCTTAGATGTGAGAATATCTGGAAGATCGTTAATGTAAATTAAAAAGAGTATAGGGCCAAGGATTGAACCTTGGGGAACCCCTGAGGTTACAGAAAAAGAAGAAGAGTGCTGTCCATCAAGGACAACTTTTATACTACGATTGGAAAGGAAGGATTCAATAATCTTAAAGATGTTTCCAGATACACCATAAGAAGAAAGCTTATGGAGGAGACCACCTAACACTTCATTACTCTGGCCAAATAGAGATGATTGTTGTTGGGTTCCTAAGCCCCATATTTTAATTATGATAAAAAAACCATCATCTTCAAGATCAAGGCATATACCAGATAGACACAGATGATTTGCATAAAATCTAATTTTTAAATTAACTCAATCATATTACACCAGTTTTCTTTTATAAGCAATTTATGAATCACTCAGATGCAAGTTCTGGTTTTTTATTGACTAGTTTTTTATTTAAAGCTTGTATTTGTTTGATTATTTTGACTTAATATATTACACCTTTTATGAATTTTTCATTTTAACTTTTGTTAATGGTTTTTTTTTCTTATAATGGAAGTTTTCAAAATAAGAAATTTTTAATAAGTAAAATCCAAATGTACTTTTTCATTATAATTCATTTAATTATTTTTAAAAATCCTCAAAAAACCCACCTCTCAATTTTGTACCAAAACACTCTTTAATATATCTAATTTAATAAAAACAAAAAAAAATTAAAAAAAAATTAATGCTACCATGGTTACCAGTCCTCTTTTCCGCTTTTGTTAAAATTTCAAAAAAAACTATAGGTGAAGTACAATCCCAATATTAATAAACTTCAAATTATTTTCATTAAAAACAAATATTATATTCCGATTCCTCATCCTAAAAACTATAAAGGTGCTAATTTTCAGCTTAATTACATGTTTAGTTAAACAGTAACTTGTAAAACAAAAACTATAGTAAAATCAAAATGGCCGCCAAACAAAAAAAAACTGCAAAAAATAGCTGATTTTAATGTAACGATATCTCCAAAACCCCTTTGATATTAGTGCTAAAATTTTGCAAGTTAGTCTATGTTATATAGGTGACCATTTTTACAAAGTATGAAGGAAATCTGAGGTGGTGGGTTACAAACCTTAAAAACTTGTCCCACTTTCTCATGGAACACCTCTAAAGGTAAAATCTTTATTGATTCCATTCCACCTAAACTCATATAAAATTGGGAGTGCCCTCTAGGTTTATATTAATAGCATTTGGAGTTTATGTTAAAGGTGTTAAGAGGTTTGTATTAAAGATCTTTACTGGCTTATACTAATTGTGTTAAGAAATTTGCATTAATAATGTTTAGAGGTTTTTATTAAAGGCATTTATTGTCTTCATTTTATATATATATATATATATATATATATATATATATATATATATATATATATATATATATATATATATATTACTTTATTGTTTGACAGAAAAACTTGATTAAAAAAAAAAACAATGCTTAAAAATAAACAATGTTTAAAAAATTAACATTTTAAAAGATTGACTAAAAAATTAAGACTAAAATAATTAAGTTTCAAAAAATTGAATTTGCAAAGCTTTACATAAACTTTAAATTTTAACATTTATATGAATTTTATATATGTTTTATATGTGTTTTATGTGTATAAAACACATATAAAACACATATAAAACACATATAAAAAATATATAAAAAAGTTATGTTATTATGAAAAATTGATTTTACTATATAAAACACATATAAAACACATAAAGTTTTATACGTGTTTTATATAGTAAAATCAATTTTTCATAATAACTTATTGGTTGATGAGCATCTAATTTAAGAAAATTAATAGTTCTAACCTTCACTATTTTTTGAATCAGTAAATTCGTGTGTTCCACGTAAACATAATAAAACCTACAAAGGTATTTTGAAAACATTATTTACACAAATCAAAAGCATTTTTTAAAATAATAATTAGGTATGAACAACAACCAGCAAAACAATGCTTTATTTGCTAGTTTTTATAAATACTGAGTATTTATAAAATTAAATTTGGTGCACTAACTCGTATATGTTTTTTAGAAAAAGAAGATTTTCCTTTATTTTGTAAATATTACTGACCAAACTTTTTTGATCATTGCATTTAGCTTCAGTTTGATAAAATTAAATAATTTTCTAAAATAATTTGCAAATTTTTTTGTAATTCTAATTACAGTTTTATCTATCCTTAAGTACAGCACCACCAGCAGTTTTGTGCTAATAAAATGCTGAGTATAGAGCAATTGCATTAAGTACTTATCAAAAGGATTTTCATGTAACAATATATTTAAATGTACATTTGAACTTTGATTTGGATTTTTATTTGGTTTACTCTATTACATAAATGGTTAATGCAACTTAACTGATGATGCAATTTAATGGTTGTCGCAATTCAACTGGTTGTTGCAATTTAACTGATTGTTGCAATTTAACTGGTTAATGCAATTTGAGTAGTTAATGCAATTTAACTGGTTGATGCGATTTAACTAGTTGATGCAATTTAACTGGTTTCTATTGAGTTTTAAGTTAAAGCACAGTATGTAAAAACAAAAAACTGGTAACATCTCATCTATTTAGAAAGTGTTGTACATGACAATAAGGTTTTGTTAAAAAATATAACTAGTTGTGAGTTGTAAATTTATTTATTCCATACACCGGCAATTTAAACAATATACTTGCGTAAATAACTTTAACAAAGGCTTTAGTTAATAAAAAGAATTCTGGAAGAATAGAAATAGGTTTGTGTTGTCAACATCATTAGGAATGATTTGATAAAGTATAAAACTTGTAAAGTAAATAACTTACCGATATGTTGCTATAAATAAAGTTTAGACTTTTAAAACTTAGTTTATTATTGGAGCATAAACTGACGTTACAAAAAAATTTAAAACTATATAAAAATTATAACTTATGATTTTATTGCATAAAAACTTTATACCTTATAATTCATGTAGTGCAACAACTTACTCTCTGACAATCAATACAAACTTTAACAAATGGGATACCACATGATTCAACCTATATCCTATGTTTATTTCTTCCAAAGAATCTTACCTCTACAATATTTCTATTTCTTGTTAAAACAACTACACACTCCAATATTGATAAGAAGTCATCACTATTTGATTTTGATCACAATATTGTTACTTCTCTTAGATTTAAGAATACTCTTATTGTGTACTTTACATCTTCTCTGATTATCTTTCACAACTGACCTCTTATGGAAACCATGTATACAATTTATTGTATAAGTTGCATCATTAGCAAGGTTGCTTCTCTTTAATGAGAATAATCTCTTATTGGTATTTCTAGGAGGCATTTTCTTACGCCTTCCTAATTTTACCAATATAAATCTCTTACCAACCTTGTATGAAATACTTTTGTTACTGCTGGTACATTTGATGATGCCTTAGACAAGGTTCAAAAAAATTGGTCCTCGTAAAACTGGCTAATAAAGAACAAAGCTGGCTAGCCATCTGAAAATAGAAAACATTATGTCTTGCTTGCTTTTATTACATTTATTAAATTTATATCACAACCTTACTTCACAGCAAAATAATGTTGTTGTGTTTTAAAATTATCACAGCTATAATTGGCTCCAGCAAACTTCTTTGAGAATTAAAAAACCGATCCTCTTATTAAAAATGTGCATTCTACTGCTGCACTGCTTAATGAAATACATAAATATTCACATGTCAAATATACCAGATGGCGAAATTTTTAAAGGTTGTTTTTCTAAATAAATCTTAAAGGTTGTTTTCCCATAGGATCTTCTTCTGTCGGTAGATGATTAATATAATTACTGACTCTCTTTATGTCCATTTTGATCTAAGTTTGGAAGTGCAGCTTCCATTACTTGTAGCAGTAATTTCTTTGCAGTATAATGCTTTTCTACAACATAGTTAAGATAAATCAACAATACAAATAATTCAATACAAATCTTCCAACATAAGTTATACATAAAGTAATTTGAACTTAATTTAACAAGTTAAAGCATACAAGTTTAATTGTAGAATTATAATTGAACTTGAACATATTTTTTTTAGCTTGCCATTGTTCAGTTATTTATTGCTGTTATCAAATAAATTGTTAATAGCTGAATGTGAAATTGAACTTTCTATAATTAATAAAATCTCTAAATAGCAATAAATATATTGAGTGGTTGATTAATTGGAAAAATAACTTCTGGATCTAACAAAAAGAGTTAGCTGTTTGCAGCAAACTAAAACAATGTTCTAATTTTGAGCTACAAGTCATTTTTAACTTTTGTAACAGATAAATCAGTAACAATTTGAGAGACATTTTTATGCTTGACTAATAAAAGAATAGGAGATTCACGACTTCTGTAAAGTTTGAAACGATTTATTACAATTTTGTTATCAAATTCATTAAAACACAGTTCTCTTTTGCCAAATTTATAAAAAAGTTTTTTTTTACATCATCATATAACTAATAATTAGACTCAGTAGTTGCAAGGACTATAAAGGAATAAAAACTTAGCAGATGTTAACATTATGGATTATGTATAAAGTTTCCTTAAGAGGGCAGTAATAAAAAATAATCCAAGATATAAAGAAGAAAGTTCAGTAAGAGTGACTCTAACTGACAAGAAGGAATAAAAGCTTCCATGCCTGCCTGAACCAAAGAAATTAGGTACAAGGAACAACTTTCAGCAGAGAAATGAAAGGCATCAGCCTAAGAACCATTCTAAAAAAAATCATGAAAGAAATCCCAGAAAGTGTTAAGTAGTAGTAAGAAGTATGATGATAAGTCTGAAAAAGATAAAGTTTTAGTAAGATCATAGCATAGTTTGAACCAACTAAAGTAGAACAATTAATAACTAAACACAAACTAGGGTCAGACACATGTCAAGTCATGTCACATATCATTAGACACAAATCTTGCATTGAAGGTGATTTCAATTGTCTGGAAAATAAGTTATGAAGTTAACTATCTGAGTAAGAGATTGAAAAAAACCAAAACTTTGAGCTTTATTCCTGACAGGGTCTGGTACTGAGTGGTAGTAGTACAGTGGTACTGAGTGGTAGAGCTATAATATTAAAGTCATCAATAGTATATTGGCTGAAGAATTAAAATATTGGCTGAAGAATTAAAAGAAAAAGCTTGTTCAATTTGATCAGAAATTTTATTGAAAAGAGTGCAGTATTGCAAAGAAGGAGAACAATAAAGAACAACAAAAGTAATCATATGAAGAGGTGCTAAATGGAAGCAGATAAAGAATAGTCAGACAATTTAAACCATATTTTGTGATATGCATTCACATTTCAAAATTGGCAAAAAAAAAAAGTCAGCCAATGCATATCTATATACAATATGTTTCAATAGAATTACGACATAACTAAAATTTCTTAGCATGTGGCAGATAAGAAGAAAGTGACTTCTGCTAAGAAAGCATACATGGCTTAACAGTAATGAATATGTTGTTTCTTACATAAACAAAAAAAAAAAAAAATAATAATAATAATTTATATTTGCACAAATTTATGATGACATGGTAAGAAAACATTTTTAAATATTAATTTTAATATCAAATTACATTTTATTTTAGACAAAAAAGTTTAGATTTAGGCAAACGAACAGTTTCCTTTTCTTAGCAAAAAAAATACAAAACCTTAAGAAAAAGTCAATTTGATATTAATTGCCAATTTGATACAAATTTACAAGGTTGCTTTAAAAAGCAGTTTAAATTTGTTGAATCTAAAAATTTTAATCAAATTCCATAAATATTTTTATTGTTTCATCGTTACTAATTCATTTTCAAAAGTTTCTTTTTACTTTTTCTACCTTTTTTTAATGCTATTTTTTGATTTTAATGTGGCAGTCCAAACGATGTGTCATCATTCAAAAGTAAACTAATTGGACACTTTATCTCATTTGCTTATTTTCATCTCATAATGAATATTTTAATGCTTCTATATCTTTTGTTTTTACATTTCTTGTTGTAAGCATGAATTAGTTGGGATTAAATAAATACTGATGTTTTTTTCATCAGTATTTGTTTTTTTTTTTTCATTTTCATACATTTTGTTAACAATATTATCATTAGTGTTAAAATTGAATTTGTTAGCTTAATGCAAATAAACCCAACATCACATTTACAAGTTTATAACATAAAGTTAGTATTTGAAGCCAAATGCAATTTAGAATGTTAACATTAGTTGTTCTAACTCAACAATCACTTTTTAACTAATTATAAATTGCTTCATATAATTTACTTTCAACAAAAAAATTTCAATAAAAACAACCTTTTCATGCATTGGCGAAGTAGAAGCAGCACCTTGAATAAATGTTTCTAACTCAGACCATAAACTCTTGTACTGCTCGTCTCTATAAATATTATTTTAAATATTTATTTTTCTCTATAAATATTATTACTCTTTGAATAAATATTATGTATGAAAAGTTGTTAAAACAAATTAAAAAAAAAAGTAAATATAGAAAATATTAAAAAAAAAATTAAATTAACAAAAAAATAGATATAAACAAAATGCGAAATGTGTTGCTGGTGAAAACTGTTTAAACTGCAAAAAAAAATTACTTTTTTGAAGCTTTGCCTTTAAGTGTTACAATAGGTAAGGGTAAAGTATCATTTCTACTTTCCATTGCTTGAAGTTTATAAATTACCTAAATTATAACCTTTGAATGACAAATAAATCATGTATTTTATTGTTTCATTGTAAATAAATTTTTTTGCCACAAAATTGTAACTACCAACTTTTGTGCATTCTTGAACATCCTTTTCTTGCAATACTGGTTTTAAAAGCAGCGTTAGCAAGGGATTTAAGTTCTAAAAAAAATTAATTTGAATTTATTAACACATGGAAAACCATACATGGGCTCAATGTTTTTAAAAAAAGTAAGTTAAGTAACATATAAAAATGTTTTTTCTCCTGTATACTTTAAACTGTCAGGTCTCAGGGACCTAAGAATTTATTTATTTGTTTATTTTTTTACTTGACTTTTTTTAAACATTTGTTAATGAAATAAAGTCGCAGTGCACAGTAATACATTGAGTGCAGTAACCTAATTCCAAAAACATGATGCAAACTCAATAACTCTTATCATACATATTATATCAATACAACTGTAATAAAAATAAAAGAGTTGTTGGCTAGTCCCATACTTCCTCCCATTACTTCAACTCTTTATAGATTCCACATTATTATATTGAATAAAATTAATCAAATCAAGCATCTATCTAACTATTTATTCATTCACATTCAAGTTAGAAGTACCTTTTAAATTTTAGGGTTAAAAATATTTTTTGTTAATGTAGAAACCATTAAAAATAATAATAAAAAATGAAAAAATTGTAGATTTGAATGATGTTCAATACCGCTTGCATGTTAAAAATTAAAGTATCACTGATAACCATTGGCCAGTGTTTTGAATACCTCTCCAAGCAGTTTATTCCTAAATCAAAATCATTAATGACAAATAGTTTGCACATAAATGAACTTTGGTTTAATAAAAAGTAAAAAAATAAACAAAATTTAGCTTAAAATTTTTATTTTTAGTAATGAAGGAAAAAAAAACCTAATTGATTTGGATCATCATTAATACTTTCATAAGGTGCTAATCTTGTTTCTTTCATCATACGTCCAAAGTCCTAAAAGATAACAACTACAATTGATCAAAATTATGACATATAAACATCAAACAATTAGATAAAGCAAAGCATTACATTAATTCTATAATCAGTAACTCTCCCGCCTATGCCTTCTGTGATTGATGGTGGATCTTCTAAAGGGCTCCTACCATAAGCTAACACATGAATAAATAATTCACCTGGTAACAAATATAAAAATGTATCAAATTAAGAAAACAAAATAATCTTATCTAACAATATAATCTAAATAAATTGCAATACGGTTAATCCTTTACATGCCTCAAGCTAACAAGATAAACAAGACAAACTGTCAAAACCACTGAGACGAGAATGAAAACTTGTGTAAAACAAGTTTAGCAGTTAAAAACTTTAGGACAAATAGAAGCTATGTTACACACCTAAATTTTGTTTTAATGTTTATTATAAAAACTAAGATCAACCAACATAAAAAAACATAAACACAGTAATATATAACATAAACATAAAATACAAATAATTATATGAAAAATATAAAAACACTTATAGTATAAAAATATTTTATGGAATTAAATAATTTTTTTGAAAATAAGAATGATAATTTTCAAGTAATAATATTGCTGACAAAATTTGTTTTATAAATAAAAACATGTATTTATAAAACTACTTAAATATATTTAATAATTTTAATAAAATTATAAAAAAAAAAATTACATAGTAATGTAAAATTTTGACTTAATGAGCTAATAGATATTTAACTTAAAAGAAATAAGCAAATTAGAAAAAAAAAGAAAAGAGAAATATTTAAAAATGACAAGGTAAAATTAAAATGAAATGAAATAGTTGAAAAACCTGTTAAAGTTCCCACCTAATGTCAAGGGTCTTCATATTTTTAACCCATTTAGACCTAGTGATCCGATTTCGAAACACTCAATTTTTTTTTTTTAATTTCTTAATTTCGACACCAGGGTGCATTCTGATCGCTTTGTCAGTGAGAGCAATGTTGTTGCTTTCTTGTGGTCAGTATTTGAATGTGCATAGACGTGAAATTCTGTTGCTGTACAGTTACAAACATTGAAGTATAAAATGTGACTGTTTTAGCAACATTTCTTTCAACTAAGTTGTAAGTATTACTTTTACTTTTTTGGTTCTATAAACATATTTTTTGATCATTACTTATCTTCTGGATATACACAAGCGTGTTTTAGACACAGTACACAGAAATTTTTTTTTGTCAAAATGATGGGTTCCTAAAATGAGGTGTTCCGATTTCGAAACACTAGGCACATACAGGATGGATGAAGCATTTATGTATGTACATATTTATGTATGTTTTTATTTATTTATTTTTTTATGTATGTATGTATGCAGTTGTATGTATGAGGAAACTACCCCCACCTGCCATAGCTCTGTCAGTAAAATATACATATTGGGGAGGAGGGGGGGAGAGGGCAGGGGCAGGGGTAGAGTCACACAAAAATCATTCACACATTATATGTATAACTGAAAAACTAATTTTATAATAACTTTTTTGTTTCTTATTGGAATGATATGAAACAAGTACATAGCCAGGGGGGAAGGAAAAATAATACTGCCCCCCCCAGTATTTTTTGCCCCCCCCAGTATTCTTTGCCCCCCCCCTATCAGCCTTACAAAGTACACAATTTACTTTGTTTGGTTGCAAAAACAACAATTATAATTTAAAAAATAAAATAAATATATATTTATTCTAATTGTAATTTTAAAAATGGAATTTCATAGAATCAAAATTTTTTTTTTCAATAAATTGAATTTGAAACATTCATAAGTCAAAAAACTCTCTTTTTATTTATTTTGTTTTTATTTATTTCTTACAGATCTTCCCCAAGATGCCCAAGACCTTATCGCTAAATGAAATCATGGAACTTCTAGAAGAAGAAGATAATATTAAAGCAAGTGCTATAATCATTGAGCCACCTGTAAACGCAAATGCGACAAATTCAGATGAAGATTCTGGAGATGAAGAGGGTGGAACTATAAATAATTTACCAGGTTCTTTACTCCGAGCACCTGCTCATTTAGACAATAATGGTAATTTTATTTCCAACTTAGATGAAGAGGATGTTTCACACGCAAATGGAAAAACAAAGACTTGAACATCCGACCCATAAAAGGAAGAATAACACCACCTCAACAGATAACAGCAAAAACTCCCACAGAAATTTTTGAATTTTTTTTAGATGACAAAGTTGTGGAAATGATTGTAATATACAAATTTTATATTTATTCGTACAAATTGTAATATACAAATTTGTACGATTATCCTACATATAAAAATTTGTAGATGTATCCTAGTGTTGCAACACCACTAGGATACATCTGTTGGTTCCAACTATAACAGGGTAAGAATCCAAATATACAATTTCAAGAATATGGTGTCAGTGCATCAGTGGTACTTCAATTTGTTGACTAACAGAGGAGAATATCATTTCATATTTGATAATTTTTTTAACAGCATTTCTTTACTTGATAAGCTCACATTAATGGGCCATCGTGCGACAGGAACTGTGAGAAAAAGATCGAATTGATAAGCCTCCACTTGATTCAGATGAAATTATTAAGAAAAAAGAAAGAGGTGCGTTTGACTACAGAAGTGATGATAAAGGCAATATTATTTGCAAATGGCATGACAACAGTGTTGTCACTGTTGCTTCATCAGCAGCTGGAATCAATCCTATTGGTCTAGTAAATCGTTATACACAAAAAGAAAAAAAGAGAATTCAGATTCAACAGCCTCACATGATAAAATTATACAACCAATATATTGGAGGAGTCGACAGAGCTGATGAAAATATAAGGCAATATCGAGCATCCATACGTAGAAAAAAATGGTATTCAAGCCCTCTGTTATTCTTTTTTGAAGTAATTTTACAAAATGCTTGGCAACTACACAGAACAATAGAAGAAAAGCCTTTAGATCTTCTGGAGTTTCATCGACATATAGCATCCAATTACCTGGAAACCTATGGTCAACCTGCAGAAACTGGAAGAAAGGGAAGACCATCACAGAAGTGCAACATTGATTCAAGATATGAATGTCTGAATCATAATATAGTGAACCAAAATAAACACGTTTTCAACAATGCCATAAAAACACAACATTCAAACGTGAAAAGTGCAATGCTGCCTAGCATATCAAATGTTCAACCAAATATCATACTCTTAACAAGTAAATATTTTTTTGTGATTGTATTTTTTTGTAATTTTATATTTGTAATTATATTTATAGCAATAAATATAACAAGATTTTTTTAGTACCTAAAAGTGACCAAATAATTATGAAAAAAGAGTACATATATATGTATATTCTTTTAATGTCATGAGAATGTAGTCCATAAAGCTAGTGTTCCGATTTCGGAACACCTTGTATCTCAAAAACTAGAAAAAATTTACTTGAAAAAAATTTACTTGAAACAATTTTGTTCTTACACCATTTTATGCAACATATATGAATATCACGAAAAAATTCACTAAAAAAAATCTTCGGTCTAAATGGGTTAAAAGTTCCCACCTAATGTCAAGGGCCTTTATATCTTTAAAAGTTCTCATTTAATGTCAAGGGCCTTCATATTTTTAAAAGTTCCCACCTAATGTTAAGGGCCTTCATATTTTTAAAAGTTCCCACCTAATGTCAAGGGCCTTCATACTTTTTAATTAATGGACTTTATTGAAATTTTTTTTGAAATTTAATGAATTTTTTTAGACTCAATTGTCTTAAAAAATTTTTACTATTAAGTTGACTAAACAATCAACGTGAATGATAAATGTGGGATGATAAATGATAAACGTGCTTTTAAAAATTTAAATGCTTTTTGATTCTCTAGATGAACTTGTTGAATGGTCTTGATGCAAATCACAAGCTTTAGAACCTGCGTAAACATTTTTATAAATTACTAAAACGACAAGTAAGTTTATACTTTGATTAAAAAAATTTAAAATAGTTGTTGCTTTCATGAAATATACTTATAAAAGCACATATATTACACATAAGCACATATATCTCACATAAGCACATATACCACACACAAGCACATATATCACACATATGCACATATTTCACACATATGCAGATATATCACACATATGCATATTTATCTTACATAAGCACATATATCATACATAAGCACATACCTAACACATACGCACATACCTAACACATACGCACATATATAACATATATGCACATATACACTTATGAATGGCCTATCTAAAGTATACGGCCTAATATTCTACATTTTTGACAAAAAATGCAGAAGACTATGCCAGAATAAAGGCTAGTTCAGTATGCGGCGGCTTTGAATAAAAATTTAATGATCTATATAAATGAAAAGTTTTATTAGTGAAAATAAAGGATAAGAAAAAGTTGTATTGTAACAAATGCTGTGTTGTTAGTTGTTATTCAAAACATGTTTTTTATTTCCAGTAAATGAAGATTTAAGAACCAAATGGAAAAAATTTGCAAATAAACAACACTGGATACTAACTAAGAAATCTGTTATTTGTACAAAACATTTTAAAGAAAAATACTTAAAACATGAAAAGCAAGCGAAAAGATTAATGCAAAATCTTCTTCACCAACAATAATAGTGGAAAGAAAATCACTAACAAAACATATTTACCAAAACGATCAAAGTAGCAAATATCTAAAAAATGATTTGATACAAAACCTAAATTGTGTTGCTGGTATTCCATGATGGTTATTCCAAATGGCTACCAAATGCTGAAACATAATGATCATATTGTACTTTACAAAATGTTGTTTAATGAGCTTCCCATACCAGAAGTTATCAAGTGTATATGAGTTGATGATAGCTTACATGTAAAACTACTTTACAAGAGTTGTTCAGTAACATTACCCCAATGGTTTTATCATATTTCTATCTTAACTCCTAAAAGTATGTTTGGAAACTATCCTGCCTATTTATAAAATCAAGCAGAAATAGTCTCTCTGTTTTTGAATAACTTGGAAAAATAAAATATTAGAAAAAACCAGTGTACTCTGCCAATGAATTTGTCATGAATTATTATTGAGCTATACATCATTTAATCTATGTTTTTGGAACAATTTCTGTTACCATCACTTTCTTTATTAAACAAAATAAGTCTGGATAATATAGAAACAGTAATTAACAGTAAAGTAAATTTATTTCTATATTATCAAAAC